TGGTTATGATCCAGAAACAATGCAAAAATTGTAGCAGTGGAAGACCCCACAATTACCAAGAGCAAAAATGGTGCAGCAGGTCTGGAGCTCAACAAATGGCATGCTTATTTCTTTTTTAGCATGAAGGGCACTGTTCACCATGAATTTATTCCTCCTAACACTACAGTCAACTCTGACTCTTACTGTGATGTTCTAAGATGGTTTAGAGGAAATGTGCGAGGAAAAAGACCAGAACTTTGGCGCCACCATAACTGGCTTCATGATGATGTGCCTGCCCACATGTCCCTGAAAACAACAGAGTTTGTGACTAACAACATGGTTATTGTTCCCCAACCTCCCTACTTGCCAGACTAAGCCCCTTGTGATTTCACTTTGTTTCCCAAATCAAAAATGAAACTGAAGGGATGGTTATTTGAAACAGTGTCTGACAACCTGAGGGAATCACAAGCAGTACTTGACAGTATTAAGGAAAATGACTTCCATGGTGCTTTTGAAGTGTGGAAAAAATGATGGAATTGCAGTATACATTCCCAATGAGACTACTTTGAAGCAGCCAAAATTGAATAAGTTAAGCCACAATTTCTTTTTCGACGTAGTACAGGAACTTTCCGATAGCCACGTGTCAATGAAGTATGTGGCAAGACATCAGCATGCTATCTACAGTAAGTGAAATGTTTTGTGATGTCCATGGTCCACAGTTCAACATATCAAATTGGGATATAGTGAACACATTTGATAATAATTTTGACACAGCTCTGACACAGCTAACACTAAATGAAACCATCAAGTCTTCTGAAGTCTGTGAATTTAGCACATTTCCTTATATCTGTAGAGTGGGGCAGGGAACTGACAAATCAGTATGCACATGCAGACACAAACAAAACATCTGCAATTGTTATACAGCTGGTGGAACACCTTCTCAATCATGGCCACTCTCTCTAGATGGACATTATTTTTATAATTCTCCAGAGTTGGCCCAATTCTTGAAGTTCAGAGTATAGGCTGTGTAGGCACTTCATGTACCAACAAGAAGTTGCTCCCTTTGTAAAGGATAAAAGACTGAAGAAGGGAGAGCACTGTGGTCAGCACTCAGGGAATATCAGAGTACATGTCTGACAGCACAAGAAGAAAGTTAGTATGATATCACAAAGATAAAATTCATTCCTAAATAAATAAAGCAAATAAGAGACAAACCCTGTAGTTGAGTATGATTACAATCAAAACATGGGAGCAATTCATCTTAGAGATCAGATGCTACAGCCTTATTTACTTAAGTAAAAGGCAGGTTCTAACTGGTATACAATATTGTGACGTGGACAGCGCAACCCTCAGTAAACACCCTCCCTCAAGCAGTGACGTAACAGCATCAGAGCAACTGCCGCTGCCAAGGTAACAGGACAGTAAACACTCTGTCCCCCTCCCCCGCAGTGATGTAACAGCACTTTGACGTAACAGGGTACACCATGGTTACTACACAGCAATAAACAACTCTTGGCAACGTTCCCCAGCAACGCCTGTAAACACGACATTACGCAACAGTGATAGGTATCACGTAACAGTGCAGTCAGTGCAGAAGCTACATAACAGGAGAATTACCAAAGTAACCAGTGAGTTGCAGTCTAGCATTCGCCGGAGTGAATGGAAGCAGGAGAAGTAACTGTGATACTGCAGATGGCAGTACTGGTGTAATTGTGAATTATGTAAATGTAAGAGTGAGTGGAATAAATCTGCTATATCAAAGACGGCGTGAAGTTATTTGTCGTGTGACATATACCCAACACTTGACAATACGATGGGGTACCAAAAAGAAACCAAACTAATATTTTTGTGGGCAGAGCTTTTGTAGTACCACGTTTTGCCGCTATGAGCGCATAGAACTAACATTCCTGAGTCGATAAGCCGACTACCGTTGCTTCAGAAGGTAAGGACTAGTTTCGGCAGAGTTTATAGTGACAACTGTTTTGTGTGATCGTCATTTTTGCAATGGCCCAAACACATGAAAATGTTGAAAAAATTCGTGAAATCATCAAGGAAGATCGACGACGGACCATTGAAGAAATTGTGGAGCTGTCGGGAGTGACTTGGAGCTCAGTTCAGCGAATTTTGACAGAAGATTTGGGAATGAAAAGGGTGGCTGCGAAATTTGTGCCACGACTGCTGACTGCTGAACAAAAACAAGGTCGCATGGAAGCATGCTGTGCTTTGAAAGAAGAGTCCCGAAATGATCAAAACTTTTTTTCAGCGTTTTGCTGATGTTGCTGAGGTGAAGGAAAAAAACGACGGAGGCGCTGTCAAGCATCTCAAAAGATGAATTTAGACAATTTTTTGAAAAATGGAATAAAAGACTAGACAAGTGTATTAGTGTAAGTGGAGAGTAGTTTGAAGGGTAATGAAGGTTTGTGCTTAAAATTTGCATAAATAAGTTTAAAAAAAAATAGTTCGGTTTCTTTTTGGTACCCCCTCGTATTATTTAAAGGGTTTCACAAGTAGTTATTCGCAAAGCCATAATAAATTGGTTCATACCAAACAATATGGGAACACACCCTCTGAAATTCAGATTCCTTGTGATACAAGGCCTTGTAAAGAAACATGGGTGTGCTGTCCTTCCGTCTGCATATGGCCATCCTTCAACCAAACTTCCTCCAAAGAGACTGAGCGAACAACATTTCCTACAGCAAATTCTCGATACAAGAAACATGGCTAAGCCTCACAGGAGGTATGTCATATGCTGAAAACACTGAAAATGAAGTGAAACATTTCATTGGTGCAGTGAATGTGATGCAGAATTGTGTTTGGATGGGTGTTTAAAAAGCTATCATACAAATCTCTGGAAACTTTCTTCATGCATATATAAGATGTTTAGTTAATAAGGTAAGCTATTAAAATCATAGCTTATTCATCTCTGTGTGAAAAACTATAAAATGATTTCATGTACACAATTAGTTACAAAGTTTTAAGTATTAAATTAAAAAATTACAGGGATGTACAAAAATTACTACCACAGTAGTCTTGGGAGCAATATTTAAGTCCATGCTGAAGGGTTAAATGCTGCATGAAAGTCCAGTGGCAAATGAGCATGTCTCAATAAATAGAATGTTATTTGACAACAAACTATGTAAGAAAAGAATGATAGGATGACAGGTAAAGGAACGAACGTATTGCTTAATGTTCCCCCCCCCCAAAAAGACAAGGATCTAGTGTTTCTAACTTTCAGAAAACTTTACCTTTGCCACAGATTGAGCTAATGAAAAGGAATGTGGCAAATTAATGACAAAAAATGGAAAAAGAAACCTCTCAAATAGAAGTTACAAAATGGGAAGAAAACCATACTTGGAAATAGTTTAATGTCAGATCTGAAAATTTTCTTGGATTGAAATCCAGCTTCAGCAAAATGGGTTAAATTTTCAAAACCAGTAACCAATACATCATGCACAAGAAGTCGCATGAACACAATATTTCTTACCACAATTTGAACAGCAGGTGTCCTTTCCTGTAGGAGTGACATTTCATAAATTATACATATAAAATATGACATTACAGAAACATACAAATCCTTTATTTATATCACTAGCAAACCATAAATTAAACAGTGTCATTACACTAAGGAACTTACTTACTTACTCGTGGAGCTGAGCCATTTGAGGAGCGGCCAATTCTGCAGCTATTCAGAATTTCCCAGCATTTTATGGAACCTGAAGATTCATTACCATGTTCAAAAGAGCCCTCCACTGGTCCCTATCCTGAGCCAGATTAATCCAATCAATAACATACCATCATATCTCTCTTAGATCCAGTCTAATATTGTCCACCCACCTACATTTTGGTCTTCCCAGTGGTCTCTTTCTTTCTGGCTTTCCCACCAATATCTTATTTGCATTCGTCTCACCCATTCATGCTACATGTCTGCTCACCTCATCCTAAGTAAATTAATTTAAACATTGTGCATATTCAGAAAACTGTCACAATATAGTGTTACATGTACACTCTTTGCTAGGGCACATGTTGGTAAACAAGTTCCCATGAAGACTGATTCTTGATAAACAGTTTGTTGCTAGGTTACACAACAACAGATGAAGCTGTATTTTCTACGCAGTCTGTGCCAAGCAACAGTAGAATAACAGGGTTATGCAATCAACTTCTAAGCAACGGGTGGGTAAACACACTTCTGCTTATCGGACTGTGCTATGAAAGCACTGATGTCATCAACAATAGAGATAGTGTTTTCCATTGGATTTGTGCACAGTGCTTATAAGAGGAGGGAGTAACAGAATTCATTCAGGGCAGTTACAAGTCGGTCACAAGCTTGAGGAGTGAGTCGAGATGAATTTTTAGTTCTGAGGTTCCAGAGTGACTGAAGATGAAATAACAAGAAGACTTCATATTGATTTGAAATGCTAATTTCTATGTTGAGATCCAGTGTCAGGAGACGACTAATGAAGGAGAATCCTGGTGCGTGTGCAACAGTGAATGGGAAAGTGTGTAAATCAGAGATAGCGCCATATTTAAGTGTGTTTAAGAGAACTTGTAACCAAGGTGCTAATAAATCCAATCATTGAAACTAGAACCCATTATTTTTGTCGAGTGTACCACCCTACACATGACAATATGAAGGCATTACTTATCCCATGAGAATCACCATCCTCAAGAACATCCAGTCAACTTTTGTGCAAGTAAAACATAAATCCCAAAGTGAAACATGACTGTCCTATAACCTACTTCCCAGCAAATACTTCAGCATTAAATGAGAACTACGATGATGATGATGATGATTGTGTTTCTATATTACAATATGAAGTGAGAAATTAAAACTTCTTGAAATGTGAAACCAAGGTGTTTCAAAATATTCTCCTCACATGTATTTTGTATATATAATTTGTAAAGTTAAATATTTTTGTTTTGCCTTTTGACTTTAACTATTCTGTTATTTCAAGATTCAGTTTCCCAAAACTCCCATTTTAAGCTTTTCCTTGATTTCGGGTATAAAATGCTTGTCCCCCAGGGAAATATTAAATTGTTGTTTTATTGTGTATGAAGTAAGACACAGAACTCTTCATAAATATGAAAAAAATTAAAGACAACCACAAAATCAACTGTCTCCAAGTCCTTCTTCTATTTTAACATTGTTTCTGCAAGTCTTTGATCTAAAGTCCTCTCTCACTTATTTACATACAAATCTTTCCCAGTGAGCTGCAGCATTCAACACAAAAGAAATTCCAGGCCATTATACATCTGACTAAAAGACTTCATCTGACAAATTGAACACAAGAGTCATGAAGAATGGCAGTTTGAAAATCAAAAACGTCAACTTGCATTGCCATAAACACAGTGTCTTACATAGTCCAAATCACTGAAATTAAAATGAAAAGCATAACATGCCTGTGATATATCATGAAACAGAAAACTGTGAGTCACAGGAGAAAGGAAATTTTAGCTTTCACTGTTAGCCACCAAGACACTGGAAATAGGAGTGAAATTTAAAACACAGAATGCTGTGTTCTTGTGATTTTTTTCTGAATTTATGTCACTGAACACTATCTTGGTACTGCGATTTTACAAAGTCTCCCCATCATTTCCAACTGAGAGATCTGTGGATTTGAGGCGTTTTGATGCATTATCACCATTACCATCATCTGACATCCTCTTCTTAGCAACTTCATTCCTGTCCTCAAACTCAGGTCTCCCTTCAGCATTCCATTTTGGCTTCTTCTTTTGAAATGCAAACATCAAGTACAGGGCTGAAAAACAGAACTGATATATCAGAATTATTCATATGTGGGTGGACACCAAAGTACAATATCAGGTACGTGTTCATCTGAAACATTTCATGCACGACCTTTTTCTAACCTGGTCTCTAAATGAAAACATGCTTCAAAGGTTGATAATGCTGTGTCCTCCCTGAAAACATGTGAACCATGAAACTCATCTGGAATGCCATGTGGCTGAAAATATATAACTGCATGGTCACCATTCAAACACTACAAGTGGAAATAATACTGTGGTTTCAATCCAGGAAACCAAAATTTTTTGACAACAGATCTTTAAACCTTTTAAGCACAAGACATTTAAACCCCTGCATGGCACAAAGACAGAATTAGAAGTTGTAGTTTTAAATTCTAAATGCACCAGACTAGAGAAAAAGTATGCTGCCGCTGTCTTTTACATATCTCAGTTCATCAAAAACAGTATTATACAGGACCAAAATGTGACTGCATCCTCCTCTGATGTCTGCCTAAGCTACATGTGTGGTTCCACCCCATATTCCACAACATCCCTAATTCTGGTTTGTATACTGCTATGTGGACTGAAGGCCTAGAACTTCATTCAAGAAAGATGCAGTTTCATTATACAATCTGCAATGAATGGGAGAAGTTCTGCTTCATTGCTGTTGACCATATCACACACCCAACACTCTACTTGATGCAAGTACAGTCAGTTCCAATCAAAGCTTGGATTTCGTATGCCATAGTTCTAAGCATGCCACAATACACAGACCACAGTAACATTTCTTGCAGTAGTAGACTGATTATTTTTGCTTTATTTCTTCACTTGGCACGCATGATGTCGCTCTTTTCCTTTGGCCGGTCAATGCAGAGAATGTTCTATCTCAAGTCGGCTCATCTGAGTCTCCGAACTGCTGGGCTGACCCTTTGGCACACCACAGATTTCAGTATTTACTTTGTGGGAGAGACCAATGCGAACCATAACTAGCTACTATCTAAATTTCACACACACTCAACTCTTGATTATCTGGGGGCAGATTAACCAGTTTGCGGCTTAACCAGGGCTTTTTTGAGGCTTATATGTTGTTTAATATTCATTCACTTTTGTTTCACATGGTGAGTTGTAACACTACTTTTGCACTAGTGTGAACTGAGCTCTGCATTTTTTGGTCCCGTTATGCTAACACAATGTTCTAGGGTAGGGATGAAAGAATGCAAGGATTTGTGGAAAGTTTCAAGGACAGATACACCGCCCCAGTTAGTCTCTTTGTATCAATCTTCAAGTGCGTTAGCAAAATGTCAGGGTGTAAAAGGAAGCGTGTTGTGTTGTGTTTCAACAGAAACTTGAAATTATCAATTAGTTGGGAAAAAGAGGTATAGTTAAACAATTAGCAATGCAATATGGTATTGGAGAAAAAACTGTTCGTGATTTGAAAAAAGAAAATAATTAATTAATTTCCTTTGCTTCATCATCTAATTCAAGCAGAATGAAGAAGAGAAAAACCATGAAAAAATCAACATATGATGATCTCGACAAAGTAATGCTGATCTGGCTTAACCAACTAAGGGCACAGGGAACAACAATAACAGGAGCAGTTTGTGCTAAACAAGTGAAATATTTTTCCGAAGTATTTGAATTACGAGGAAGTTTTGACGCTTCTTCTGGTTGGCTAACACGTTTCAAGCAGTGTCATGGAATACAAGAAATAAGTATTCAAGTTGAGAAATTATCAGGGGACTTGTCATCATCAGTTCAATTTTGCACCAATTTTGACAGTTTTGTGAAAAGTGAAAATCTGCTGCCAGAACAAATGTATAATGCCGATGAAACAGGTCTTTATTGGAAATGCTTGCCAACCAGAACTTTGGCATTTCAAAATGAAAGACAGGCTCCAGGTCACAAATCCAGTAAGGAGAGATTGACAGCCTTGTGCTGTTCTAATGCATCAGGAACACACAAACTAACACCAGTAGTTATCGGCAAAGCAAAAAGACCAAGCTCTTTTAAAGAAAAAGTTTCTTCAAGTCTACCTATCCATTATTTTAATCAGAAAGGAGCTTGAAGATATTTAAAGAATGGTTTGATCTTAAATTTGTGCCTCAAGTTTGTGATCATCTAAAATCCCGAGGACCTCCTGCAAAAGCTGTCCTCCACATTGACAATATGCCCTCACATCCTAATGAAAGTCTCCTGAGGTCAGAAGATGGAAATATTTTTGTGAAATATTTTCCTCCTAATGTTACCACACTTATCCAACCAATGGATCAAGGAGTTATCTCAAGTATGAAGAGAATCTACAGATCAAATTTGCTACAAAAGTACATCGATGAAGGCAATGATCTGATGTGTTTCTGGAAGCCTTTTCAATGTTAGATGCCATATACGAGATTTAAATAGTGTGGGATACAGTAAAGCCATCTATATTGAAAAATTCATGGAAGAAACTGATGCCTTTCATCAATAACGAAGATGATGAAATCCATGGATTCACTGGATTCAGTGAAAATGAGATAGCCATAGAACTGACAAAATTGGCTGACCAAGTTCATGGTGGTGAAGAAGTCAACGAAGAAAATATAAGAGAGTGGTTTGACTGTGACTCGTGTGAGCCGGGCTTCGAAATGTTAAGCAGTGACAAAATCGCAAGTTCAGTTGGGGTGCAGCCAGAAGAGCGGGAAGAAAGTGAGAATGAGGAAGAGGTGGACAGTGCTGCTACTAAGAAAATATCACATGGTGCTGCTCTTAATCATTTGGAATCCTTACTAGACTATCTTGAGAGTGAAGAGAACAGTTTATTAAGTGACAAGCTAATATTACGTAGGCTTCATACGGATATCCGTAAAAAGGAAAATGCCACAAAAAAGCAAACAACAATATTAAATTTTATTAAGTGTTAACACTTTGCAGACCGGTGGCATATTTTTATACCCAGCGCTTTTAAAAGTGGAGGACTGGTGGCATATTGTTATGACTTTAGGACATGTTATGTTGAAACACACTATAGCTTGCACTGGTGCCAGACAGACGCATGACTGGTGCATGATAGACCTCTTGAATGTCTGCTTTGTAGTCAGTAACATGACCCCGCTGTTTATGACCCAACTGTTTTCTTTTCTCACTCCAAAAGAAAATGCCTTTCTTCATCTTCCAGCTGCATGCACCAGGCAGGAAGTTACTAGTGCAAAATGGATCAAGGTCGGAAGACGTTGAGGTCCAAGCGTTTTCTCGGAGAACAAGAAATATCTGACTCGTTCTAAGGATGAGCTATCTGACGTCCCTTGTGAGTCTGCTAGTGATAGTGACTCACAATCTGATAGTGAGTGTGGCAGGGGAGAACAAAAAATTGTGACCATAGACAGTGAAAGTGAAAGTGAAAGTGACCGTAGCTCCAACGAATGTGCGGGTAGCAACATTGCGGGGACAGCCACATGGGGAAAGTAGACAAAACGCCTGCTTTGGGACAGTTTACTGGAAATCCAGGGGTGAAGCAAATTCCATCGGACCCAACGCAAGTGTCTGAAGTAGCGGAACTGTTTTTTGGAGACAGTTTCTTTGACATGATATGTCAGGAAACTAACAGATACCATCTCCAACACCGTGAACATTATTAAGGCGTTGAAGTGGGTGGATGTCACTTTTGCAGAAATGAGAAAATTTTTTGCAATTATCTTTCTAATGGGCCATACAAGGAGGGATAATCTGAAAGAGTACTGTTAAGAGATAGATTTTTAGAAATTCCAATTTTCGGCAAACTAATGAGCCGTAAGAGATTTGAGCAAATTTGGTGGTGTTTGCATTTCAATGATAATGAACTGCAACCACAATCAACAAGCAGGCTTTTCAAAATTCAGCCCTTATTGAACTTTTTCGTTCAGAAATTTCAGACAGTTTATAAGCCAAACCAACAACTGTCTTTGGACGAATCTGTGATTCCTTGGAGGGGAAGGCTTCGTATGCGAACATATAATCCTGGGAAACTTACAAAGTATGGCCTACTTCTTCATGTATTTACGGAAAACACTTCAGGCTATATTGGAAATTTAGAAATTTATTCTGGCGAAGGAAAGAAATTACAAGGAATTATTCTTTCAGTTTTGGAACCCTATCTTTATCAAAATTACCATGTCTATCAAGACAATTATTATAACAGTGTGGCAACTGCAGAACACCTATTTTCGAGAAAAGTACGTGTTTGTGGAACAATTAGGGTGAACAGAGGCCTTCCTCCAGATCTGAAAGAGGAATGTAAATCCCTGAAACGTGGTGAAACCACATTCAGGAGAAAGGGGGATATTCTTCTTCAGTCCTGGAGGGATACTTGTGTTGTGAATATGATTTCCACAATTCACAATTTGAGCATGGTTGATGTTCAAAGGAGACATGGACAGGTAAAGAAGCCTGTTTGTATTTCCGAGTATAATATGTTCATGAAGGGAGTTGATAGAGCCGATCAGTACTTGGCCTATTATTCTCTTCCTCGGAAAACAGTAAAGTGGACAAAGAAAGTTGCCTTGTGGCTTATAAATTGTGCCATTTTCAATTCATTTTTGGTTTTCAAAAATCTAAACCCTCATTCAAAATTGAAATACAAGGCAGAAACATACCCTCATGAAAATTGTGAAGAGTGAACATTCCAAGGGGAAGCAGCCTTCTAGGCGATGCCGTGTTCGCACAGTACACAACAAAAAGAGTATGACTGTCTACATGTGCAAGTTCTGTGTAATGCCACTTCACAAAGGGGAATGTTTCCAGAAATATCACACTCTCAAGCACCTCTAGGAGCATTGGTAAGTGTTCTCCAAAAATTTTAGTTCATAAAATTAATTAGGAGATTTTATATTAATTTTTGAAGTGAACAGTGCACAAGTTAGGGTAGTAGGTTTAAAAATGCTGGTCCCCAGGATGATTTAAATATTTAAATTGATGGTCCGCAAAGTGTTAAGTGTGAATATTCGTAAAAAGTGTTGGATGTTGTTGAACACAGGTAGGCCTATAGTATTATGAAGGTACAGAA